GGCCCTTGGACCTTAGTCCTCCTATTCATTCCTCCCACATAGCTAGGCACATGGCTGTTTGGTGTCTAGGAAGGATGCTTTAGAGGATGCAGATGAGGAGACATGTAGAGCAAAGTTCAGAGGAGTCCATGTCGGCAGGCACTCAGTCCCGGACCTGGGGTGCATCATCCTCTCAGCACTTGAATGTATCTTTGTTTACCACCCAGGAAGCTGTCTGCACCCTGTCGCTCCAATATTACTCACACAGCTTCATGGCACAGTATTGTCCATTATTCACTCAGTTTCCAGTCCCTTTCGCTTCCCAGATGATGGGTGGGGCTGGGCGCCCCAGGCTTCTAGCGCTGCTGATTTTCCTGGTGAGCTCACTCGGGAGCAATACCATTAGAACAAAAGATGCCCTGTCACCTGGGAAATCACAGAGGATGTGGGAGCTCTGTGTCAGGCTGGGTGTGGTGGAGGCATGCCCCATCATCCCAGCTACTTAGGAGGCAGAGGTAGGAGGATCGTGGTCCAAGGCTGGGAAAAAAAGCAGGAGATCCTGTCAGAAAAAAAGATAACTGAAACCAAAAAGAAGGGAAAAAGAAAAGGAAAGAGCTGGGAGGGATTCCCTGAGTTCAATCGCCAGTGCTACCAAAAAGAAGAAAGAAAAGAAAAAAGAAAAGATCTCTGGATCAGAAACATGGGCTAAAGAGCAAGTAGGAGAGTTCTGGCTCACCATCCCGTGACTCAGGAGCTAACGCAGGCATGCGGTGGGAGGCAGGGAACAAGTGTATATTTTCTATTGTGGCACACCTGGACACTTTCCTGAGTCAGGTAGAATATGATAGTCAAGAACTTGGACTCCTGGGGGGTTGAGCCATGGCTCCACCCCTCATGAGCTCTTTGGCCTCCTCTGTTTTCTGTCAGTGAAGTACCACAGTGCTATCTTCCTTAGTAGCTATCCTATATGTTCATCTAGGTGAAGTACTAAGATGTCTGGAACCATCGGGTGTCTGAAGGATGAATGGAAGCCAGGCCATGACAGACAGGGCTCTCTTGGGTGCTTGGGGGGGGGCAGGGAGGGGAAATGGCATGTACAAAGGACCAGGTCCTTACCCCCACAGCACTGAGGAGCTCAACCCCCAGCCCTGTCTGTGTAGCCCTCTCTTCCTCTTCCTCTCTTCTTTTTTTCCCCCCAGCTCCTTGGTGAGCAGCTCTGTGTTGGCTTTTTCTTTTTCTTCAAGGAACTAGAAAAGACACAAAAATAACTAGATTCATTCTCTGCCCTTGAGCTTCTGAGTCTCCTTTGAGGAGTTTCCTTTGTTCTGTCTTGGCCTCCAGCAAGAAAACACTGAGCTAAGACAGCCCAAGGAGGAATGAAGAGCTGGTGAGCTAGAGGCTGGGAGGGGAGGCCCCTGCTCCATGCTACAACCATGGATAAAACTGAGTTCCCAGTCTAGGTATGTCAATGTAGGCTGTTAGTGGCTCCTACCGGTAAGCCCAACTGTGGAGGTACTATCTTTACAAGAAAGTTGAGCATGGTGGTACATGCCTGTAATATCTGCTACACGTATATGGGAGGAATAAATAGGAGGATCGCTGTCCAGACCAGCCCAGCAACCCCCTCTTTCCTCGCCACACACACAATGGAGCATCTATATGAAAAGTTAAAAGCAAAAGTGCTGGGGTGAGGCTTAAACAGTAAGGCTTAAACAGTGCCTGCCTAACAAGTATAAGGCCCTGAGTTCAAATCCCTGGACCACCGAAAGAAATAAAATGGTGTTTAAGTAAATCTGACCGCTGTCCAGATCTGCAGGAAGAAGTATGCTATCAGTAGAGATTTTTCTCCTGGTGGGGACCAGGCACCTCTGGAGCTGCCCCCTTTCTAGAAACCCATGGCTTCTGGGGGCACATTGTGCAGGGCAATGCTGACAGTCTGTGGAAGGTGGACCTGCAGCAGTTGCCTGCTGAGAATGCACAGGGCCCAAGTTCTGTGCACTGTCCTACAGCTTAGGCAGCTGCCTGCCTGCCTGTCCAAGACCGTGCATATGGAGGGGGGCGTGGTCTTCTCTCTGCTCACCAGGCCTTATCCAATTGGATGAGAGCATCTCATGGTGTCTAGCATCTCATGGAGGCCAGGAAGGAAGAGAGAGGGAGGATGTGCACCAGCTTGGACAGCCAGGCAGGCAGCTGCCTAAGCTGTAGGCCCGTGCACAGAGCTTGGGCCCTGAGGATAATCAGCAGCAGCTGTTGCAGGTCCCTTTCCACAGGCTGCTAGCGCTGCTTGCACGAGGTGCCCTGCTGCAAGTCAGGTTCCGAGGCTGCGTTTTCCATATCTTCATTCTGCACGTGTGGTGTTTGTCCTTCTGAGTCGTGTTTATTTCACTTAGCATCATGATCTCTAGCTCCATCTGCTTTTTTGCTTTTTTTTTCTTTTCTTCTGTAAATCCCATCATTTCATTGCAAGCTTCCTCATGGCTAATGTCTAAAGTTTTCAGGGCGAGGACTATGAAAGGCTTCTAGCATTGGAAATAATTTTTAGTGCAAAAGAGGACAACAATGCCAGTGGGTGCCAGGAGGCTCCCTTGGTTCTCCATTGAGGGGGTGGGAGGGTCCTTTCTGGAACCTTCCCAGAGGTTCATTCCCAGCTGTCGTTGGCCATCGAGGAGGAGGGGAGGGAGGAAGGGAGGGGATCAGTGCCCTCCCAGCGGGGGTGCGGGGTGAAGCCTTGGCCAGATCACTGTGTGCTCCTTAAAGACCAAACATGGACACGGAGTCTGGGCTCAGAAATAGCCCCTTGCCCCAGAGAGCCTTGGAATTCTGCAGGGTCATCTCAGGGAGGGGAGCAGGGCGCAGCTGCTGGAACCTTCCTTCCTGACTCTGAAAGGGAAGAGGAGGGCCTGGCCACTCATTCCTGTGTGCATGGGACTCCTCCATTTTGGCCTATGCAAGCCTGAGACCCGGGGGAAGAATTCCCCAGTGCCAGCCCAGTTTCAGGAGTCTCTGTTAGCAGCCACTTGGAGATATCCACCAAATGGGGGGGTGTCTGCGGGCCCCAGCAGCCCTAAGTCTCCTTTGTGTCTCTTGTTCGCTTGTTGGTTTATAGGACATTTGGACTTCTGTCTCATGTATGCAAATGACAGCTTTCTTCATTATCTTGGGAATATTATTTTAAATCTTTCCAGCCTTTTATTTCCCTTTACCTCATGAGCTTGATGGCACTTGTGTTTGTCACAAAGTATCTGTCTGTCTCGGTTCCTCTCTGGTTCTGGGGGGACAGGGTCTCATCCTGTAGCCCAGGCTAGCCTCACACTCACAACCCTCCTGCCTCTGCCTCCAAGTAATCCAAGATTACAGGTGTGCACTGTGTTCAGTTTTCATACACGAGGGGCATCTATCAAGCCTCACCTGCCCCTAACACATCCAAGTCCTGAAGTGGCTTCAGTGAACCCAGGGTAGACTCTGTGTCTGTCTGTCTGTCGTCTGTCTGTCTGACTGTCTCTGGCTCATCTCTTCACCTCTGTTGAACTCTCACAGTACATGTGTGTGTCTCTCTTGAGAAACTTGCCTTCGCAGATCTCAGCCCTTCAGAGTCTCAGAGCTTGCGGTTGCTGCGACCACTATCGAGCATCAGCAGCACTTAGGGCACAGACATGGACTTGGCACCGCAGCTAGATAGGAAAGACAAGCAGAAATGGTGAAAGGTGCAATTGTCCTGCAGAAGCACAAGGAGGCTTGGGGACCAAGCAAGGATGTCATTGGTGGGTGAGGAGGGGAGGGGAGAGAAGGGGTAGGGCAGCCTGAGTTCCATGAGGGCCTGGGGGAGGCAGATGTGTGGGGGTGAGGCCTGAGAGATAAGAGCCCTAGTTTCTCGCTTGACTGGGAGCCATTCATTGTCCTGAGCTTGGCTCCTTTATCTCAGATGCTAACACTGTGGTCCCTCTTCTCCCCACTCCCTGCCTGCCACCCCTCCCCACTTCACACTGCCCTCCTCTGTGCCCCTCAGTTCCCTCCTATGCAAATCTCATGACTGAGGCTGGTCCCACTGTGGAAAGGGGAGGCCCTGTATTGTTCAGGGAACAGCCGGGGCAGGGAGGTCTGGAGTGCTCATCACTGACATTCATATCCATTCGTCTCACAGAGGACCTCACAGGTGCTCAACCACTGAGCTACATCCCCAGCCCTTTCTAGTTCTCCTTTCCAGACAGGACCTGGCTAAATTACCCAGGCTGTAATCAGGCCTCAGCTTCCTGTGTAGCTGGGATTACAGGCACACATCACTAGACCTGTCATCCTGGGTACTCAGGAGGCTGAGATCTGAGGATTGTGGTTCCATGCCAGCCTGAAGAGGAAAGTCCTTGAGACTTTTATTTCCAAGTAGCCAGCAAAAAAGCTGGAAGTGGAGCTGGGGCTCAAGTGGTAGAACACTCATCATAAGCAGAAAAATTCAGGGACAGTACATAGGTTCCAAGTTCAAGTTCCAGGACAAGTAAACACGCACGCGCGCGCGCGCACACACACACACACACACACACTAGGGACATGGTGCAAACGGTAGACCTCCCTAGCAAACACAAAGACCTGAGTACAGTCCCCATTACTGCCAAAATGTAATTCATTAATGACTACAGTGGTTCATGCCTATGACATCAGCTACTCAAGAGGCTGAGGTAGAAGGATCGTGGTTTGAGGCCCACCCCAGGGAAAAGCGCAAGATTTTATCTGAAAAAAAAAAATGAGTTAAATCCAAGAGTACTGTGCCTAGCAAGTGCGAAGCCCCCAGGCATCCCCTAAAGGAACCCCAAAAGCTATAACCATTGAGGGGTGAGGCTGTGGCTTTGGGGGGCTCCTAGGAGCGCAAGCAGCCTCTGGTATCTGCTTGCTGTTGTCCCCCACATCCTGTCTCCTTTCCCCCCATGTCCTGGTGCGGGGCCAGATGCCTTCCACAAGAACCTAAAATTAGCTCCTAGAAGAGTCACATAATCCCCTGGCCCTGGGGACCGTGTGGTCCTTGGACGCCCATGGAGGCGGTATGTGGGCGCCACCACGTCAGCAGCCCGTGGGTCCTGGAGTCTGACCTCGACCCAAGTCCTTCCTCAGTCCCCGAGGAACCACGGCCCCGGCTCGCAAACACAGGGGCTTGGAGAAGAAGCCCTTTTTATAGTAACACAATAAACAAGTGTGGCCATGGCAGTAACTAGCGGTCACCAATCGGGAGGGCAACATCATGCTACCTCCCCTGCCCGGGGGAGCCCCTGGGGGTCATGGTCCTGATGATTCGACAGAAAGAAACATGCAAAGTATGCTTTTGCTTCAAGGAACACAATCAGAAAGCAAGGAATTCTTTTGTTGTTGGTGGTGGTGGTTGTGGGGCCTGAACTCTGGGCCTGGGTGCTGTCCCTCAGCTCTTCAGCTCAAGGCTAGCGCTCTACCACTTGAGCCACAGTGCCACTTCCAGCTTTTTTCTTTTTGCTTATGTGGTGCTGAGGAATCAAACCCAGGGCCTCAGGCATGCAAGGCAAGCGCTCTACCACTGAGCCACCTTCCCAGCCCCAAGAAATTCTTTTTCCTTTCCTCTCCTTTCCTTTCCCTTTCTTTCCCTCCCTCCCTCCCTCCACTCCCTCCCTCCCCCCCCTTCTCTCTTTCTTTCTTTCTTTCATAGGGTCTTACCAGGCAATGTAGGCTGGCCTTGAATTCATAGTCCTCTTGACTCAGCCTCCCAAGTGCCAGGATTATAAGCAAGTACCACTATGCATGGCCACACACAAGGCAGTAAATTCTGACACACAGATATACTTGACGATACCAGGCTGAGTGAGGCAAGCCAGGCCCAGAGGACACATCCGTGAGCCACCCACAGGAGTCCCTCAGAGGTGAGGACCAGAGCTGGGCAGAGCAGAGAGGGGGCATTCACTGGGACAGTGTCAGTGTGGGCTAAGAGCACTAGAGCCTGCGTCTGGTGGCTCATGCCTGTAATCCCAGCCACTCAGGAGGCTGAGATGTGACCGATCATGGTTCCAAGCCAGCTCAGGCAGGAAAACCCAGTGACGATCATGGTTCCAAGCCAGCTCAGGCAGGAAAACCCATGAGACTCTTATCTCCAATGAACTACCAGAAAACTGGAAGTGATGCTATGGTCCTAAGTGGTACAGCACTAGCCTTGAGCAAAAGAGCTCAGGGATAGCATCCAGGCCCCGAGTTCAAGCTCCATGACTGACCAAAAACAAAACAAAAACAAACCATTGGAAATGGATATGGTGGCAGTTGCACTGTGAGCATACATAACGTGCGGGACTGTCCCCTAACCTAGTTAAGATGTAAAGTGGGAGGCAGGGAGGGAGGGAGTGAAGATAGGTCATCACACCTGCCCTCCTTGCCCCCTGTGACCTTGGACGGGTGGCAGGATATCTGCAGCTTCCGGTGCCTGCTCTGGGAAGTGACGTGGGAAAAGGCAGGTAAGCCACGCCCACCGCGGCGATCCAATCTCAGTCCACTGGTGTCTCCCCAGCTCCACCGGCATCAGGGAGCAGAGACCATGAAGACCTAGGAGACATGGGTGCAAGATGAGGCGAATGTGGAGAGGGAGGAGGGAAGGGGACAGGATTGGGGTTTCAGGGCACCGCAGGCACACCGGCTTCCATTTGAGGCCTCACATCACACCCAAAGATTTTCCTTCCCCTCCTGCATTTCTGACCTCTTTGGGTTGCTAGTTCACTGATGAGACTCATTTCAAGCCTGAAGACTTAGCAGCGCATGGAGGTACACACTCTAATCTCTCAGCACCCAGGAGACTTGATGCTGGCCTGGGGAGCATTCTGGAACTCTGCCTGCTGTTCTGTGGCCAAGAAACACCATGTAGGGCATAGGGAGAGCCTGGGATTGGGGCACTCCATGGGTGAAGGGACTAAAGCAATCAGATGCAGTAGCCGGCACTCAGGAGCTGGCTTTCTAGCTCAGGAGACAGAAAGCAAAGAAGCAAGAGAATGAGGGCTGCCAGGGAGAAATAGAATACAGGTCAGAGTGCAGGTTAGGGTAAAGTGTGGTTTTACACAGGGGTAGTCTCTAACAGCATTGTGTGTGTGTGTGTGTGTGTACAAGCACACGTGCATGTGTGTGCCAGTCCTGGGGCTTGAACTTAAGGCCTTACACTCTTACATGGCCCTTTTCTCTCAGGCTGGCACTCTACCACTTGAGCCACATCTCCATTTCTCTGACAGCATTTGAACTGAACCCTGAAGGAAGTTGGGGAGGAAGCCTGTACCAGGGATCAGGTGCAAGCAGGTGCAAAGGCCCTGTGGTGGATGTGAGTCTGATGTGCCTGAGAGACAGTGAGGAAGCCAGGCATCTGGAGCACAGCAAGGCGTGGTGGGCAGCGAGGTCAGGAGTAGCAGGCTGGGGTGGGTGGGGCATCCCGGGCCTCATCTGGGCAGGGGAGGGGCCCAGCACTGCTAAGGGTTGTCATCAGGCTCAAATATGTACAGGGCCCCTCCCACATTACCTGGGGAATTGGCTTGCAAGGACACCTGCCAAAGCAGCCGTGGCTCTTTGAGGAGAAAGGGGGAGAGATGTGGAAGAAGGTCCTCTGTGTGTTGTTCTCTTAAAGTGAGACCCTACCTGGAAAGTAGCTAAGACAAAAAGGAGCTGGAGGCGTGGCTCAAGTGGTAAAGTACCTGCTAGTCAGTACAAGGCCCTGGGTTCAACCCCCAGTGTCATCAGCACAAACAAAATTGAAAAAGAATTCTTCCATCAAGAGGTTAATGAAGAAAACCTACCTTGAGTTGGCTTAGTACTGAATTCAAGTCCCCTGTAGAGCTGGTATAGAGCTGGGGGCTTGATCCCAGCTACGGGAACCTGAGATCTGGAGGATCTCAGTTCCCCAGACTTGATCTCCAGATAGCCATCAAAAAGAAGTAGGTAAGGAGGTGTGGCTCAAGCACCAGCCAAGCAAGCAAGCAAGCTTGAGACCCTGAGTTCAAACCCCAGTACCAGCAAAAAGAAAAACCTGCCCGGTAGAGAGAGGCTAAATGGTAGAGCCCTGGTGAAGCAAGCATTAGGCCCAAATTCTGTACCCAGCACTACAGAATCAAATCCCCTCTAGGTTCAGCAGTCCCTGATGGTCTCATCCGCTGTGGTGTCCCAGCCCTCCCTCCCCCTGTACACAAGCCATCTTACCCCCCTCTGTTCCCATGGCAACACTGTCCTAGGACTGAGGCCTTGCCTGGAGCTATTGCTCCTCCCCCAAGCCCTGCATTTGGCAGGGAGGGTTTACCTCTGCTGCTCTCTGGGGAGGTAGGTACACTGGTCTTTCATTTGCTTTATGTGGGTTCTCAGACTCTGTTAAACATACGCCTGACATGTTGTTATTTCCGTTTCTATTGGAAGCAAGCAAATGATTCTCATTACCACCTCCCCCCCTTTTTTTTAACCACCCGATTCTTATTGCTCCCTCACAGGTGCAAAGGCCCTGAGGCTGGGAAAGTGAGGAAATCAGAGAAGCCAGAGCCTGGTGGTTGGGGAAGCAGCGGGGAGTTGATGCTTGGTGTCATTCAAAGGCAGCTGGAAGTATACCCTGCCATTTTAGGAAGCGAATCACTCCACCCAAGTACATCTCAGGAGCCTGAGATCGCCAGGCGGAAACGGGCCTCAAAAAAGCTACAGCTGTGGAGGCTGAAGGCTGCAGGCCTCCAGCTGGACCTGAGTATCACTTGGGAGGCAGGCAGAGGTGGTGGGGAAGGGGCTTCCTCCCTCCCCCAACTCCAGCCCCAGTGCTCCACGTGATCCTAATGTGGGTGAGAGGAGGCCAGCTAGTCTGGGAAACCACCTGTGGGCCGGGAGGACATTTAAAGCTGACCCAGGAGTGAGAGGCAGCAGCTCTCGGCCAGGTAAGTGAGAGGTAGGTGGTAGCTTGTGGCTGGGTGGCAGGGCCTCTGGGCTGGCCCTCTGACCACTCCCCCCCCTCCCCCCGGCTGTGTGGCAAGTGAGGTGGCGCCTTGCTCTTGTCCGGGTGGCAAGCCAAGCAACTGCGGCCTTGTCCGGGAATAACGGAGATAGTTTTCAGGAACCTTGCCAGAGCTAAGTGGCCTGATCTAAGCAGGCCTTCCAAGTTCTAGGCTGCTGTCTGGCCTTCCTGAGTGGGGCTTTGGGGTTCAGGGTACTTGCCTAGCCTGTGCAAGGCTCTGGACTCCATCCCCAATACTGAAGAGGTGTGTGGAGGAAGGGCAGGGGAAGGCAAAACTTTGGCTGGGTGCAGTGGCTCACAACTGTAATCCCAATTAGTGAAAAATGGCTTGGTGGATTTTGGGAGGATGAAAAAATATGAAGCTTGCCCAGGCAAAAAGTTAGCAAGACCCTCCCCACCCCCTACCCCATCTCAATCAACAAGCCGGGTGTGGCAGTGATACCTGTTAGCCCAGCCCCCGGGAGGCCATCAGCAGGATGACAGTCCATGCTGGTCCTCAGCCCAAAGCAAACCTATCTGGAAAAAACCTTAAAGCGAAGAAAAGCATTGGAGGAGTGACTTAAAGGGTTGAGGGCCTGCCTAGTAAGTACTTCAGAATTTAAGCAACTTCAGAAAAGTTTTAAAAAATCAGCAAAATCAGTCCTGGCTTATTCCAGGAGGGATGAAGAGGAGGCCATTGCTGCACCCAGGGGCCCGCAGCGAGGTCTCCCCCACATGGCACAGTGGCCTCCTGAACCCCTGGCTGTGGCTGTGTGCTTGGTGGGCCACCTGGAGCCCTGTGCCCCCCCCCGTGGGTACCGCCCACCCGAGTCCACCTGAGAGGCCTACTCAGCAGGAGAGGGCTGCCTGCCTGGCCTTGAACCTGGCTCTGGAGCCCACCCGGCTTGGGACGCCCACGTTGGTGCAGCCCCTCCCTCGGGGAACCCAACAAGCGCCAGATGGAGGCTCGGCCTCTATTGGAGTCCTCGCTGGGCCTGGACCGCCCCCTTCCTGTGTGCCCTGGTAACTGGGACCCCTCTGTTGGCCTTCCTGGGGAGTAGGTGTCACCTCAACGTGTGGTTTTTGGCTGGA